AGAGAGAGAGAGAGAGAGAGAGAGAGACAGAGAGAAAGAGACAGATAGAGACAGAGAGAGAGAGACAGAGAGAGAGAAAAAATTGACAAGTACTGTATTCGGTATAGTATAGGTTTCCAGATATTTTGGAATATCTATGACGGATGATCTTCGGAGCTATTTGGCCAAGACAGTTTTAGAAGGTTACGACTCACCATTTTTAATTTTGAGTAACTTTAAGAAAATGGAGTTTATGAGTTTGAATAAGTTCTGGAGCCTCAGAATCACGCCGGTCGGGTAGGCGTGTCCCTTGAAGAAATTATCTCAACTAGCGGCCACGAGTATCGTTTTCTCGGATATGTCCAGAGCTTACTTCAGAAAACGGAGTCTACTGTATTAATTCACTATATATTCAGTTCACTTCAGGTTTCTTATATTTGTTCGAAGTTAATTGCAATGTCTTAACACTATTTATTTATCAAAACTGAGTTCAAGCACAGGCAACAAATGCATGATATGCTCGATTTCACGACCGACTACGAAGTTGTGCGTAATTGTCGGTTACTAGGGAGGTTTTACTGCGAAAATCACTGTTGTATTATCCGCGGTCTACCGATCGGTTGAGCCCAAGTGAAGGGAAACGAACTCGGCGTAGAGACAATACGTGAATTGACGCAGGAATCGATAGCAATGTTGACGACTGTTCCGTCTGATGGCGACTGATCATAAATTTTTACGACTCGCGAGTCGAGTACTCATGTAAGTGTTGGTCGTGGGTGTTTAGCTACGTTAGCAAATTTTGGGTTATAACAGAGTTTCTAGAACTCGTTGTTCTAGAAACGTTTTTTCAATTTTTTTGTTTTTTATTTATTTCATTAAAAATATTACATTTGATTAGCATCCATCCAACTATTATGAGTACTATCAAATCCCAACCATTTTACATATTCCTTCTTTCCCTTCTTCTTCAACAATTTCTCAACAAGAAACACATGTGGATACTTGACCAAACTCAATTCCTCCTGATAAAAGCCGCCTTCAATTGCTCCGTCGTTCTCATCCGCCAGTTTGTACGTCACCGGAGTGGTGTTCTGCACTTTTTTGATTGTAAATATTTCTGTAGTCCAGTTGGGAGTGTATCCTTTCTCGAAAACAGTTGTAAGGATATTTTCCCGAATTGTTCACCCAGGAAAAATCCAAACTACTTTTTAAGCCTTCTCTATCGCTCAATAATTGGGCGCCAGCCGAACCTTGTAACGTGGTCAGTTTTTACTGGGGATCAAAATGAGCGTTATCTTGCCCTTTTTCCTTGGTAAAGTCAGAAAACTGAAACTCGATGATTGTGGGCGCCAGTTGTTCTTTGTCTCGACGGAAACAACAAAAACCGGAATTAGATCGATGTGGAAAAATATAACAAAACCAAAGATTCAAAAGCACAAAAAAACTTAAACCTAAGGGGCCAAGGGAAAGGACACTGGGTGCTTGCGCTGCTCAGGGGGTGGGTTGTGGAGAGAGGGGTAGGTTCAAGTGGAGAACGGGTCACTAGGCTCTTATCCTAAAAGAAAGAAACCCAAGGCCAAAATTTAATGCTGAAATGTACGGATCTGTATTGTCTCTAAAATTCAACAAAAGAGTAATAATCGTAATAATCGTTTCAAAAAACCCATAGTCCGCTCTGAGAGTGAGGGAGAGAGACCAAAAAATGTATACCTATCCATCAAAATTAGTAATAATAATTCCATAATATCAGAATAATATCACACCGTAATTAATATCACGCGATGTACGCAGAGAGACCCAAAAAAACATAATAAATCCAAAATAAAATAAGTAACCTCAAAAATGGAACAAAAATGAGAAAAGAAAAAAAATAATATCGAATTCAATATCGAACGAGAGTTGGCTAATTTAGCAATAACGAAGAAAAACCACTTATCCCGAATTCCAAAAATAATCCCCGACAACAAGAAAAATCCTAGCGCAACATAATTTTTGAAAACGCGCGGGCTCGAGAGCATACAACGAACACGTGGTAGTTAAAACGACGGACGCGGCGCATGAAATCTACCGAGGCGCGACCTTGAAGCGAAAGCCGCTTGAAAATGTCTCTAATGAAGGCGGTGAACGCATGAAAAAAATCATCAATAAAGTCTCACAGCCCGTCAGCACACAAAAATCCTAATTATTCCGTATTTTCAGAGATATTTCATCCCGAGGCGATGAACGCAACATTGAAACGATCGGAGCGGAATGAAAATAGAACTACATCCCGAGAAAATCGAAAGAACGCGAAAATCCCGAAAAGTTCTTAAATGAATGAAACGTCTAATTAATTAAGCCATAATGACTGGCAAGACCGAGAGGTAAATAGCTCGAAGTGTTCGAGAAGGCGTCTAGCGCAGAAGTGCCTTTCGAAGTCGGAAACTACACGGCTTTTATCCAAAAATTCCAACGCAAAACTCCCGAAATATTCACTCACTTAAGCGACATAAAACTATCCTTACGGGTGCGAGAGAGAAGCACGAAATCCACCATCGTAAGAGAGAGACAGATAAGAAATCTCTCGCGGCGTCAAAACTCGCAAAATCTGACAGGCGATTAATGCAATTATTGGGCGTTATTTAAGCTCTACCGCACAGAGCAAGACCTCAAAATCAATAAATTATGATCCAAAAACCCTGAGATGAGAAAACCTACGAAAATGATTCCCAACAATACGAGAATCCCACAACCAAAAATACTCGTGAAACTCACCAGCGAAACGATGCACTACTAGTCGCTTGTCGGCTCCTCGGCAAAGTCTCCACATACGAATCTCCGTGGCCCCCAAATGTCTCGTTTCACCTATCGGTACTCTCCCGATTAACTACAATTGTCTTTAGATTCACACAAAAGAAAAACTCCTATGATAGTCGAAACGGAGAGAACTAACCGCGCTATACTTACGTGTGCCACACGTGAGGTATGCTAATCGATACTGACGCTCGATGGGCCACGATGGCGGCTTGGCGCACGGAGATGAGACGTGGACAGAGCGCCACGTGTGCCTGGATGGCGCAACAATTACATAACGGTCGGTAACCGGGAATTCTACCTAACGAAATTCAAATTGAAATAACTCTATACAAAAAGTCATTACTACAGCGATCGAAATGGATGTCAGAGTGGGTTATTAACTCAAGAAAAATTCATATTTAACTATAATCTCCTCTCCGGAGTCGTATTCTCGGGATCACGGGGCTAGGGAAATAAATTACGAAGGCAATGAACAAAACTTAATTACAAAAAAGTGTAAACAATTAGAAAAGTCGAGCTCAAACGACCTTGGCGATTCACGCGAGACCAACGGTTGGGATTGATCGCGTGACCTTCCACCTAACCTAAAACTAACCCATCCCAAACCCCAAAAATCCACTACTTGACCGGTACTATTCCAACTACTCCTACACAATCCCCGAAAATTCGAAAGGAAGGGAAAAATCCTCAAAAATGATCGCGCAGCTCGGTAATATCTCGGTCTTAGTCACGAAAATTCTATCGGCCCTATATAGTTAATTTTTCCCTATCTAATTAACAAAACAGAAAGCGTGAAATGCAAGGGAAAGACAAAACGAATCCAAAAATACGAAAGAGGCGTCAGAACGCAAAACAAAATTCTCAATAACAAAGAAAAATGATAAAAACAAAAAAGTGTTAGAACGTAAAACCGAAGCTCTGATGAATCCAAAATGACTCGAAATCTCTAATTATTAACAAAATGAATTGACTCGAAACTATTGGCTCGACTGGGTCGTTTTCTTTGCGTACTTACGGGTTTTCCGGTAGTTTTTCCGATGATCCCGCGGCGAGCGAAGGGATTTCCCCAGAATCCCTTACACCCCCCATCTTTGCCGGTTCCAAGTCCGTTTCCGCATCGGTCAAGGGTTGTTATCCATGCGGTTGTTATCCTTCCTTCCTTCAGCACTGTAGCAATAGTGCTTTCCTCTGATCAGCATCACTCGAACCCACGACCTGAAATAGAGTCTCATGCTCTATGAATAGAGAGCCGGGCAACCTCATAAACGTATTGCATAGACCTAAGATTATTTATTAATTATAGCCTTTAGGCACCAGGTACATGAAGCACAGCCAGAAAAACGGATTAGTACGCTATTCGTTATGGAAAAAATGCAACAAAAAATCCCATTTATGTGTTTTCAATACTAGACACAGCAGGCAGTAATAAGCTCAAAAGCAGACGGGATTTGCACAACAACACATTCCTAGACAGCAGTGGTAATCCAAGAATAATATAGGCACTCAGCACATTCCCCTTTGAACGCGAACATTACCGCAAGCAAATGCATCAGGCACAGAGGCAAAAATATTCACTATCTTAATCTAATAATGAATTGAGTATAATTTAATTAAGAACAATAACGGTCCTGGGCTTAAGGCCATGGAAGATGTAAAATTCCCAAACGCCAATCTTCAAATTGTATCGCAAGTGGCTTCTGCAGCAATTCACTCGAAGGCTCCTTTATTCAGGTGACTTTGCAGCAACCTGTTTGTCGAGGAACCTAGTGATGGCCATGGGGTCCATGGCTGCGAGTTGTTCCAGCCACTGCTCTGCCGTCTTGGTTTCCAGGCTTGTGGCAGTAATGGGGTGGCTAGACAGCATTATACGCCCTGGTGGCATTAGAGGGGCAGTAGTTTTCGACAAGGTCGAGGGGTTGGCCTGAGAGGCAGTGGTTGTTGGTGCAACAGGCAATGAAGGCCAAGTCACTTGTCCTGAGGGCGATGGTGGGGGTCCGGAAGGATAGGTGGGGGTTTTGGCCCTGGGAGCATCTGTTGGGAGTGTGGTTGCAGCAGCATCGTCGATTGAAGGGGTGACTCTAGGAGCATCGATAGTGGGGTTAATCTTCAGGGGTTCTGGTGATGGCCTGAGGCGTTGCGCAGTAGATTCAGCGTAGGTCTGAGATCTGGCGCGTTCGAGTTTGTCCTGGACGGAAACCCTCTCAGTACTGGCTGAGGACTGAGGTCGAGAGGTAGAATAGGCACTGGTGGCTTCTCGATTGGTCGAGAGAGCAGCGTTGGAACCTCCTGGTGCAGTTGAGGTTCTTGACCTACCAGGGGTGGTTGGCCTATTGGCAGAGGGTCGGAGGGTCTCCTGAGGTTCGTCAGCGTGTAACGTGCTAGGCGGGTGGCATTAGGTGCAGTTTTGAGGTTTGGTTGAGGCAGTTGTCCCTCGAGATTCTGTACGATGACCCAGCTGGCCTTCTCATGGCGTCTGTCCATAACGTGGCGTCTGTCCATAATGTGGTGTAGGAGTAGCAGCGAGTGTATCAGTAGGAAGACTGGAACTGAGTTCCAACGGGGTGGCAGCAGTGGCTGCATCAGAACTAAAGATGGCATCTGGTGCCGGATTCGAAGGTTTGGAGACGGGCTGGGGGTCTCCAAGGGCCATCTGTGCGATTTCCTTGGCGATGCGAGTAGCTTGTTGACCGTCCTCCATTTCAACATCTTCCTGGGGGGTGTCCAGAGGCGGAAAAGGTGGCATTACTGCAAATTCTGTGGGTGCCCTCAAGTTGATCAGGGAGGTGGCGAAAATTCGCAAAATCGGTAGGAAATTGTCGTCCTTCTGGGCAATAGCCCAGAATAACTTCTTGTAAGTTATCAGGGCGGCCCACAAAATGTGGTCAGGAACTGGGTTAGCAGCTGTGCAGGGTGACGTCGAAGCCTGACTGGCATTGCCCGTCCTAGTGGCTGGGGGTGTCGGTTCCTCGTGGCGGTGTGTAGGTGACACAGGGTCCACGGAGGCATCAATTGCAGCTGTCTCGATTTCTTCGGCCTCGGGAGAAGCATCTACTTCCATGGGGGCATCGACTGCAGGGGTTATAGTGGCTCCTAGAGAAGCAGTGGCTGGTGGAGTGTGGACCTCAATGGTAGTTGTGATCTTCTCCTCATTCTGGGCGTTTCCTGACGCGGGGTGTGGAGTCTGGCTCCTCTCGAGTTTGGCGTCCTCCATCGCAGGTGTCAAGGTGGTGTCCTCCTCGGGGTTAGCGTCCATGGTCGCAGAGTTCGTCTCTGTCTTCCCCTCGGGTGTGTCCTTCATGGACTCCTCTGTCTTCTTCTCTTCCATGTTATCTATAAAGGAGGACGCAAGCGGAGAGATTCACTTATATCATGATGGAGGCAAAAAAAAAATAGGCAATATAAAGGCAACTCCTGCAACCACAGTTTCTCATCTCAAGCTTCCTACATTGATGCTACCGATTATTTAAGCGTCTGCATTATCTAACGGCGGCAAATATGGCTTGAGATCTTACAGTGATACTTCACCTTGATTTTTACCTGCAAAAGTCTGCTAATTGATAACGTGTTTTCGAGAGGTTCTTGAAAACGACGTAAGGGCCTTCGTATGGTGGCACAAGGGCAGCAGAAATGCGCTTAGCTGCATCAGAGAGTGGATGTGACCGGCGCACGACGAGATCTCCCTCATTAAACTCATGATCACGACGGCGCAAATTATAATAGTGAGCTTGGCGAGTTTGAGCCTCCGCCAACGCATGATGCAGGGTCTTACGGAGTATCTCCAGCCATTTCATACATTCTAACCACTCTTCTGGTGATCTTGGTTCGATTTCAAGTTCACCCTCAATGTCTCGACGAAGAGAAACCGCCGATAAGGGCTCACGGCCAAAATTGGCAAATGCAGGGGTACATTGCAAGGCGCTATAGAGCGCAGTATTGCACGCAAAACGAAATTCGTGGAGGTGTAAATCCCACGTTCGATGGTCCCTATCGACAAAGACTCTAAGCATCATTTTTAAACACGATTACCCCGTTCGACGGGGTTCGCCTGAGGGTGATAGGGGGGCGACGTTTGGTGTCGCATACCAGTCAAGGTGGCTAAGGCACGAATATCTTTGTTGACAAATTCTGTCCCATCATCAGTGAATAGAACGCGAGGAGTTCCCCAACGAGAAACAATAACATTCTCGATATGTTTGCGAATGACTCTGCCAGTGGCTCTTCGCAATGCCATGACTTTTATCCACTTTGTCAATAGAACTTGCAGAACGAGGATGTAACAATGGCCAGAGTTGCTGGCAGTAATTGGGCCCATAATATCTGCGGCAACAGTTGTCCAAGGTTCTTCGATCGTTCGGTTCCCTCTAGGTAAGGCATTTTCAACTTTGCATAATTGTCACGTGGTGCAACGGTTTACGAAGCTTATGACGTCGCGTGACATACTTGGCCAGTAATAGGATCGGCTTAGTCGTTGATAGGTCTTATCGACTCCCAGGTGACCAGCTTGCGGCAATTCGTGGCATTGAGCAATGGCTTTTGAGCGTAGTTCCTTTGGAAGGACAAGGTTCCAATCATTTAGATCTTCCATTTCTACTGAAATAAATTCGGAAGGACGATGGTTGTATAATTGTCCATTTGCAATTTTCCAATCAGGGAAAAATTTCGGCACTCTCTGCACGTGGCGGAATTTCTTATTATACCATTCATCGTCGCTTACGCGAAGGCGTTCGATTGTCTCGCAGTCGGCACTCTCTCCTTCGGGGGCACGAGGTAAGGCATCGGGTACGTAATGCAGAGCACCTCTTCGGTGCACAATTTTGAAGTCGTACTCCATCATACTGAGGCCCCAACGGGTAAGTCGACCGATTGGATTTTTTAAATTATGCAACCAGCGAAGGCTACTGTGGTCGGTGATCACTGTAAATGAATATCCTCAAGGTAACAACGAAACGTGTTCATCGACCATAGGACGGCTAAACATTCTAATTCAGTAACCGTATATTTCTTTTCGGCGGCCGTTAACACGCGACTCGCATACGCAATTACTCGTTCTTCGCCGTCAATTACCTGGGTGAGTACGGCACCTAACCCCACCGTACTGGCATCAGTTTGCAGTGTAAAGGGAAGTTCAAAGTTTGGGCACGCGAGAGTCGGAGACGTGGTCAAACATTCCTTCAAGGCTGTAAAAGCATGGTTTTGTTCCTCAATCCACACCCAGGGTTGTTGCTTCCGGGTGAGTCGAGTGAGGGGTTCGGCGATCGTCGCAAATTGGGGTATGAATCGGCGATACCATGACGCCATGCCCAGAAATCTACGCAATTGCTTAATATTTTTGGGGGCTGGATAATTGAGGACCGGTTCGATTTTCTCCGGGTCCACTTGCATTCCTGCACTGTTGACTATAAAACCGAGATACTTGACTTGAGATCGGCAGAAATGGCTCTTTTCTTTATTGATCGTCAGACCAGCTGAAGTGATTTTATCAAGGACCTCTTTGAGGTAGGTTAGATATTCCTCAAAAGTACGTGATACGATGATGATGTCTAAGTAGATGAAAACATTGGGGTATAATCCTTGACCCAAAAGGCGATCTAAGATGCGCTGAAATGTAGCAGGTGCATTCGTGAGGCCGTAAGGCATACGCTGGAAGTGGAATAAACCTCTTCCAGGGGCGATAAACGCAGTGATTTCTTGACTCTCAGGGTCTAACGGGATATGAAAGTATGCTTGACTCAAATCGAGAGTAGTAATGTAGTGCGCATGGCGCAATTCGTCCAATATACCCGTCATATTCGGGATTGGATAGGCATCTTTCTTCGTGACCGCATTGACACGGTGGAAGTCGATGCAAAATCTATATTTACCATTGGGTTTATGAACCATAACGATGGGGCTGGACCAGTTACTCTTGGAAGGCACAATGATGTTGTTCGCCAGCATCTCGTCCACCTCTTTCCACATGATCCCACGAATCGCGGGACTCACAGGATAGGGCTTTTGCTTGATAGGGGCACTATCCCCGACGTCAATATGATGAGACGTAAGTGTGGTGATTCCAGGTTTATCGAAACCCTTTGGGAGGTTTTTCTCCAAAAATTCTTCTAATCTTTCTTCCTCCCTTTTCTCCAGTGTACGCAAACCATTACAGATAATGATACTAGTGGCAGAATGCAAAGGTGCGAATTTATGATGCTCTCCAGGCGTTTCTCGATAATGCCAAGATTGATCGAAAAAGTCGATCACTATTCTGGCTCCCACTAGGAAATCCATCCCTAGAGTAAAATCTTCAGATAGGGTGAGCAGTAATATCACGTCTAGTAGCGTAGCTCGGCCTGCAAGTTCGGCATGACATGTCGACATGTGTCGAATTCTTTCTATTTGGCTACCAGCA